TAAGTTTTACGTAAGGACTTATTGAAACCTCCTTGGAGACAGTAAACTTTTATACGGATAGTTCATTCAGCTTGAATACTTCAATTAATCATTTATTATAACATTTCTATCATAAATGAGTGAAAGTTACCCCAAAATTTTTATTTATTGGCCTAAAAAGTAGAAATTTTGAGGAAATTAGAGGTATAAATGGACCAAAAGAGACCTTATAAGGAAGACAAAGAGGTCCATTAGTAGTATTTATCATCCTCAAGTCATCTTTTGTATCATATTCAACTGTTTGTAGGCAGATGAGATAAATATTTGATCATTTATTGGTCCACACTATATTCTATCATGATGCGGCTTGGTTTGGATTTTTCGAAGAAATTTTGCTCGAATCGCTGTAGATGTCGTCTTACATTATACTAGATTTTTCTCAAACTATTGAACTGATTATGACAAAACTTGACAGGAATGCTTGAAATAACCAGTATTACAAAGGAAAAAAGTCACATTCAGTTTATTTAACAAAAAAGTCTTCTTTAGGTGTAATACCACCAAATCATAGTACGTCACATCCGGTTGCATACGAAAATAGGTCGAAAAAAAATATTCCCTTGAATTTGACAGTTGTAGGTAATTGATCCTACATTTCATTGCAGTAAAACATTTCTGGGTCATAAACATATATCTTGGGTATTTCAAAGCACCATAATTTTTTTATTTGGGGTTTCTATAGAATATTTTGGAAACTTGAGGTTACATGGTTACTAAAGCTTGTACACAGGTTAAGAAAGGGGGAAAATTTGATTGGTTAACTTCCAGTGATGGTTATTTTCTTATATGCAATGAAATGTTATGTGAATTTTTTTCTATAGTACTGGACAGGATAAAACTTTACTCATGCCAAGTATTTCTTTATTTGAAACAAAGATAAATTCTGCACAATTTTTTGAAAAGTGCAAATTTAACAAAGACTAATAGGGGGAAATCAATGGTGGTATTACACCTTAACATCAAGACGTCAGATAATGTTTATCCGTTGAAACATTTGAAAAAAGTAAAATAACAACGAACTGGAAGGAAAGCCCGTTATCAAAGGCAAAATCAAAAGCTCGTACACATCAAACGAAAGGAAAACAACTGTCATATTCTTGATTTGGTAAACCTTTCTAAAATTGTCCGTTTATAAATTTTGAAAATTATAAAGAAACTAAGGTTTCAACTCCCTCAGGCAAAGTTTACCTTAGATAAATTTGGCTAATTCTTTAGGTACTTTTTGTTCATATAGCTCTGCAACTGTTTCGGTTCTTATACATCCTCGGCTTTCAAATATTCGGCTTTGAGAGTTCCTGATGAAGGTAAATCCAGAAAAGCGCTTCGGACGCATTATATTAATAACGTGTTGTTTTAATTTTTTACAAATCTGGGTTGATAACTCTGCTGGTGGACTATCAGTCCCCGAAGGTTTCATCAGCTCAGTAGTCAGTAATTCGGTACTGACATGATTTTTAACAAACTTTTCTAAAATTGTCCGTTTATACATTTTGAAAATTACTCCCTCAGGCAAAGTTGACCTTAAATGAATTTGGCTAATTTTTTAGATACTTATTGGTCATATAGCTCTGCAACAGTTTCGGTTCTTATACATAATAGGCTTTCGCCGTTCTTGCTGAAGGTTAATCCAGAAAAGCGCTTCGGACGCATTAAATTAATAACGTGTTGTTTTCATTTTTTGTGTAAAGGCATTTCCTTACGTAGAAAATGGTGGAATAAACCTGGTTTTATAGCTAGCTTAACCTCTCACTTGTTTGACAGTCGTATAAAATTCCATTTTATTGACAAACAATGTGCGAGCAAAACAAACAGACATAATAGGTAACAGCAGTCAACATTGTGTTATTATCTTAATCACCATAAAAAAAACAATCAACTATGTCAACAAAGAAACACAAAATGGCATATAGACACAAAGGAAATAAGCAAAAATGAAAGACAAGAATACAACAAATGACCAAAGCATAATACACAATGGCGGGATGTATAAATACCGATCCACGCCAAAAGGATATTACCAAAAAAAGACTAAACTGTAAAGGTCAAAAATATACAAAGACAAATAAAAAGAAAACTATAACACGTAACTAAGATGATAAACAACGTCAGAACCTAGACTCAATACTTCAAGGCCATCATGTATTATTTAAGTTGATACGGAATATTTATCAACAAAAGTCTTGGTATCTTCTGATGAAGTTTTTTAGAGAAGGAACGAGACGTTCTTTGACATTGCACTGGTTCATCAACTTTTTGCCCTGACACTGGTGACATTTTAAAAAGTCTGAGTAGCAGTTGCAAGCTCTTGCATACCTAATGGGTTTGGAAATGTATATCACATATGCAGGAGAAGTTGGTATATTGCTGTTAAGGTGGGCGAAATTCCAAAATTGAAATCATCTCCTTTGTCATAGATTCTGGTACTAAGATGACCGCTTATGTCAAATTGGAGGTATAATTCTAAAAATGAGGCAGAGAAAGCCGTATGTGTTGTTTGTCTTATTTCTAGTTCTGGAAGATATATTGATGGAACCCAATCAGAAAAGTTTGGATTGTCAATGGAAAGAATATCATCAATATATCTGCTTGAAATTAAATAATCTGGCTCCTTTGATCTTCTTGTTTTTGAAAAGTGTCTGAACAAACACCGACTCATATGAAAATAAGAAGAGGTCGGCAAGGAGAGGTGCATAGTTCGTTCCCAAAGGAATGCCGACAATTTGTTGAAAAAATCAACCTCCAAATTCAACAAACGAAAGTATTTATTATGTCACCTTTCTGTAATACTGTAGATTGCAAAGCAGAAACCAGCGGATGATAATCATCCACTAGAGCTGGTTAGATCATTTACTATGGTCATTCCTTTAGAAATGTATTTTTTTTCATAACAGAATGTTGTGTTAATATATTTTCTTACAGGTCCATTATCCGGATATCTGATAGAAAAATTCGATGAAAGAAAGGTTGCCATTGCCGGAGGTCTGATTGCAGGTATCGGCATGATGTCATCTGCTTTTGTCACATCCGTTACAGCTCTTATTCTAACATACGGCATACTTTCAGGTAAACAGATTTGTTTTTCTATTATAGGGATACCGAAAGTGTAGGCAGATAACACAACTGTACAAAACAATGAATTCAACCATGATAATCACTGTTTCGTTTTTTTATTTTCAATGCTCGTAGTTGGCCTTTCAAACTATTTAATTTCGCGCGCCACTGAGTCTAATGTAGATAAACGCACGTCTGGTGTTCCAAAGTATCTTTGATTCGTTTTCATAGCATTAATGGAACAGCTAAAAACTTTGATAAGATATGATACAAGATGCCATATATGTTGAACTAGTAAATGGTGGCAGGAAGACTTTCGTACAAAACCGAAACGATGAGGCCAAGCCAAATCGTTGGATTTCCCACATGTTTCTTTAAACTCTGGATCGAAATAAAATATACATGTCAAAATATTTTTAATTCATTCATGCGTTTCAAAGTCTAATCATTTACGCGTGGGGTTCGACACAAAACAGATCTCGGTTTTAAAGAAGAAAACAAAAACTGTGTTCACGAGTCAATATTTATCTCGAATTCAAAAAATTACTAAATAACAGTTCAAATGAGTTTGATCCAACCATCAGGTAATTGACGATGATGACCGGTCATTTCGTCCGTCCTAATTAAGTAAACAAAATACATGGATTTGTCGAATTAAGTCTCTATTCTAACTCACAGTCTGCAAACAATCACATTAATGGTACCAATTTTACTGTACCAGATGCGATAAGACTCGTTTCACTTTCAATATTGACAGCTAGTTAGCTTTAATCATCTTCATATCGAAATCTAGTCATTCCTGTCATTCCTGTCATTTTTTCAGTCGTTTGCAACTGTACATTTAAGTAAAGGTCATATTTGTATACACATATTATAATTTATTATACTAACATAAAACCTTTCGTTTTTATACATCAGATGTCTAAAAAGTTTGACTGTTCACAATTGTTAACATGTTATAATGTGTTACAATCTTGTTAAATAATGCTTTTGGAGATATCCGCTGATACCCATATCAGCACAACAGATTTGTTATTATTCTTGAGTACATGGTATTGTTTTTTTTTTAAATTTCGTTCCCATGAAATTATTATGTGTCAGTGTTTTGTAGGTGTAAATATTTTTTTCAATCTCTATTAATGAGGATTTTTTTATTAATAAGAGATACCTTTTTGCGCAGCAACGATCAAACGAATATAAAGCGTTTCTTCGCTCACAATGATATTGGATCTCGTGTTGCTTCAACTTTGCTTACAAACATTGCAGGCATATCCAAACATACTATTGTGACATGACATAATCGCGAAAAATAAACTCTCTTAAAGTTTATATATTGCGCTAACGGATTGTTCGACCGGAAAACATATCGCTAAAGTAAATAAATCCAGTTTTATAAATAAAAACATTGTCAGAAAGAATACAAAATGCTCGTGATCTGTTATTGCAGCAGTAACATAACGTAACAATGTCACCATACGGCACACCAGCATGTGATCATGGATCTTGACGAGGTTTAAAACGCGGTATTGTTCACCTTCCACCATTTCGAAAACAAAACACTTTCTCCAATTATCTTTTTGTCATGATAAAAAGTTAATGTTTGAAATGTTTGCCACATATTACAGTTTACGGTACTTGTTGAATCAGGTAAAATGTTTAAATATGTACTAAAATCATAATGCAAATGTAACTGGGTCTCTTGGACGATAAATTTCATTTTAAATGAGTCCAATGTATATTTACAGGCGTAGGATGCGGGCTAGCATTTATGCCAGGAAGTGTAGCAGTGGCAAAATACTTCACAAACCATCGACACCTCGCAATGGCGATAGCATCTTCTGGTGGTGGAATTGGTAGTTTTGCATTCCCATCATTTATTCAAATGATAAAAGAATATTATACATGGCGAGGTATGTTTTTGATTCTTGGTGGAATAACTCTCAATATATGTGTATTTGGATTAGTACTCCGCCCAATGGCAAAGGAGGTCAGCCCGACGAAAAGTCATCAACAATAAAAAAATAATAAGTTACAACAGAGCTTTGATAGAAAAAACCTCAAATCAAAAACGTTGAATGAAGAAAGTAAAAGTATTGAAAGAGTTAGATTCCTCGATAGACATTTGTATATGAAAACTCTATCATTTTACGTCCTTATGGTCAATAGTTTTATGTATCAATTTGGTGCATCTATTATATTAGGTCACCTACAAGCTTATGCTGTTTATCATCTAGGATTTACTACGGAAAATGCTGCTGTATTATATACAATTTCCGGCGTGATGGTTCTTGTTTTCAAACTTCTACATGGTGTATTTGCAAATATAAACCATGTAAAAATATTTCGACCTATTTATCAATACATATATGCAGTAGGTGGAATAGCAACAATATGTTTGACTATTAATTCCCGTTACGGTGTTTACTTTTCTAGTGCGTTATTTGGAATGAGTTATGCAGCATGTGGTGGTTCACTTATACCAGCTATAGTCATTGACATATTTGACGTACAATTATTTGGTGTTGCATATGGAATTGTGCTTCTCTGTCTATCAATTGGACAGTTAGTTGGTGCTCCTATTGCAGGTAAGCGTGGTTTTGTTTTATCTCGATAATTGACAGATGAGAGGAATACGGACGCAGACCAGTAATAATTATGCCCCCTCCTTTTACTGATATCGTAGGCAGGTTATCTCCAAAGCTACCTTATTATTAAAAAGTACTTTGATAGAAACTAAAATATGATCGTGCAACAAAAACAAACATTTAAATACCTTAATGCAAAGTTTCTTTTTTAATGCTATAAAAGGCCCCGACACGAAAAATGTGAAACAATTCAAACGAGAAAACTAACGGCCTTATTTGTAACAAAACAATTTACGAAAAACAAATATGACAAACATGAACCAATGACAACTAGTGTACTACAGGCTCCGGACTAAAACAGGAATATAAAGAATGTGGCGGGGTTAAACATGTTTGTGAGCGTTCAACCCTCCCCTAACCTTGGACAGACATAGAAAAAAATCGAAACTGCAATTATAGTCATAATTGAAACATAAAAAACATATTAACCGAGAAATAAATGTTCAGTAACACACACAAGTGTTCAAAGCTAAATTATACAACTGGAAGAAACCATACGTTCTGACGAATGCCCAAATCAAATTTGTAAGGGAGTCTTTAAGTCGCACTATATAAAGAAATACTATACAATTATACTAAAATAAATAATGCAGTATTTACAGACAGTAAGCTGCAAAACATATTTGTAGAATCATTTTTCACTATACGTCTTATTAATAATTGTTGCAGGTCTTTTATATGAACACCAGAAAACATATGATACTGCCTTCATCCTAGCTGGAACAATGATGATAGCAAGTTCCTTAATAATGATATATCCTTTGAGAACCGATCTCAATCCTTCGAAACTAAATAAACAAATTGAAATTGATACAGAAATCGATTCGAAAAACAATGAGATGCGTACGGATTTCGATCCAGCATCCGTATCTGCGTTTAGAAAAGCAGAACAAGTCTTCAACGTGGAATAATAGACAGTTTACAGTGTGCAAGGAAATATTACCATAGTTTGCAATGTTAACATCGAAAAAGTTGACGGAGTGACAATCTTGAATCATTAGAAATCTGATCAAAATCTGCAAGTTTAGTGTCCCCAAACACAACATTACATACACAGCAATCCAGAAGTCTTCTTAGTGCATTTCGACTGGAAGGTCAACCACACTACATCCAATTCTATCACCACTTCAGTAGAGCAATAATTTTTATAAACAGGGAGAGGTTTGTTGTGGAAGCAATATTTAGTAAACTAATGTAACTGGTTAGTTCACTATTTTACTTGTTGAAGGAGTAATTTTTCTTTGAATAACATTGTTTTCAGATATAATTATTGGCATAAATTATGGTAAAAAAGAGAGAAATCTAATATTGAGGTAAGGGACATGTATATCAGATATATCATCGTACAAAATATGATGAAAGAAAGTTGTCGTTACCGAACGATTAATTTCAGTTTTAAAAAATAATGTCATCTTCGTTTAGACAATTTAGATCAGAGAAAATTGGTCATGGAGCAAGTTTTGCACCTCTTAGAATTTCAAGTTTTGATTTGTTAAGAGACATTGATTGTGTCAGAAACATATTCTGGTTTCTATGAAACCAAGGTTTTCTTTTTTGTTCAAAGAACACTCTTTATATTTATTATTTGAACAAAAACTATGTATAATGTTATGTTTTCATAAGAATGTGTAAGTACTGCTAACAAATGTCTCCTAATTTTTTGGACTCTTGTCTACTAGGAACAAGTCATATTTGGTGCCATCTGGAACTTCAAGTTCATTGCTATACGCAACTAAAACATGCTTTGGAAAGAAAGAATAAATAAATGCAATTACCAGAACTATATTTCTGACTTATTTGCAATTTATTCTTATTCAACGTTTTGTACGCCATAATGACATATTTGCGAAACATGTTTTATAGGTAGTGTAACAGACAATGGTTAATGTTTTTTGAGTTATGAAAAACTCCAAAATTAATATTTGTGTTATTAGCTTTACTTGTCAATTATAACGAAAGCTTTAAACATATACAGAGAATGTTAACTAATTAAGACAAAAAAGCTGCTTTTACTTTTGTAGTAAAATAACTGGTGATTTTTATAACTGTATAGCATTAATTTTCTTATTCAATGCATGTAACAGCATACACAATTATAATTGTGAACTGTGGGATAATCATGATATAAAGGAGGAAATATTTAATTGTACTATTCTTTTTTGTTGTTTTGTTGTAAATGGTTATCATTCCAGCCACTTTTTGTGCTTCATTTTTTAAACATTTAAAAAATACACAGTGATCGGAAAAGAGATAATAGGAAAACTGTTGTGTGCAATATTAGTTTCAGAATAACTTTTCGTTTCACTGTCCTAGTGCTCCTTTGTACATTTCTCCTATAAAATAACAGAAAACTTGTAATTCTTCCATTCAACTAAGGATTTTTCAAGGTTTACAAAGTCAAATTGTCTGTCCTTTTTGTGGTGCTTGTGTGATTTTCTTAACGCAATTCACCAAGGTCAATTGAACTTCGGACTTCCTTAATTTCTTTATCAACATCTAATCAAATACCAGTTATTTTTAAATGATATTGGATCTCGTGTTGCTTCAATTTTGCTTACGAACATTGCGGACATATCCAAAAATTATTCTGACTTTGTGGTTATGGGTTTTTAAAATTTAGTTACATCGGATATCGGTTCATTTTAATGGCGTACTAATGTCTGTCATATAAGGTCAATAAATATATTTCTAAAATAAAAACGCGCGACATTGATTGACAAATCACAGCTTCTGAATAATATGATATTATAATAATAAAGAGGCATTTTACTGAATAAGTATTTCTATCACGCATGTAGCCTTGGTTGTTGAAAGAAAATTCCCAAGTTATATAAAACGTGTTATGACATTCTAACAAAGGTTTGGATGAGACAAACCAACTTATATGTTTTTTACATGAAGCATTACATTTACAGATAAAAAGGCTGATACAACTGAAAAAATTTAATAGTATTAAACGGTATGTTGTATCTGTAACCGTGCAAAATAGAGGCGAAAGATATCAAAGGGATATTCAAACAAACTGACAATGTAATGGCAAAAAACGAAAAACGACGCTTAAACAAACCACAGTACACAAAACACAACATAGAAAACTAAAGACTGAGCAACACTTACCCCACCAAAAACCGGAGTGATCTCAGGTGCTCCGGAAGGGTAAGCAAAGGTAACTTCTGTGTAATTGCAAGGTTACACGCTCATGAAAGTCTGCTTCGTTATTCAATAATTGACTTTTGAAGTTGATTCGATAACTTTTTAACCCAAGAGATGTTATATTCATCGAGGTGAACTGCCGAGATGAATATCACAATTCTGGGGTTGATAAATCATTGAATCAATCGATATCAAAAGTTAACAAGTTGTTTTATGATATGACATTTTGATCCGTCTTCAATTTACTAGTCTTTGGTCAAAATATTTTACTGCTCCTTGTTGTTACACTAAATATGTAATCTGCTTAAGAAATTTGCTTACTTTTATTTTATAAAGTTTTAATATTGTGCAATATGTAATACAATCTTTTTGTGTGTTATTTTGTATCTGATTTTGGTAATGGTTTTTTTTATTTCATTATTATTTCAATCTATTTTTTAATCTGTCTAACTGTGTGCATAAGCTTAACATGTAGTTTTAAATAAATTCATCATAAATACCAGGATTGAAATTTCGTACGCCAGACGCGCGTTTCGTCTACAAAAGACTCATCAGTGACACTCGAACCAAAAAATTACAAAAGGGCAAATGAAGTCGAAGAGCATTGAGAACCCAAAATTCCTAAAAGTTTTGCCAAAGTGTCATTTAATATTTTCATGTTATTAAATATAATCCTTTGACCATTGAGTCATTTTACCAGTCTGTGATGAAATGTTTTAGGTTCTGTGTTACTAAAGTGCATATTTCGACCTTTTCTGCTGTATGGGTAACCAAAAACATGATGTTTTCACCTGTTATGACTGGCAGTCAGATGGTAATTTGCCTAAACTGTTTTCGTTTCCTTTCGATTATTTTTTTTTTTTTTTTTTCATTACAGAATCTGTATTTTTAAAACTACTGGTAAATGAAAATCAATCATTTCAACTTTTAAAGAGAAGCACTTGTACTTTTCAACAATATTGAATCCAACATAATAAAAAAACAGAATTTCACACATATAACTGGATTTTATTTTAAACAATTTTCAACATTGGCAATATAAATCTTTGTGCAATGTAATTCATGGTACAATCATTGCCAATATTAACATTTAGCAAGTTTTGTTGAGTTGAGTTAATGTTTTCTGTGTTGTGATGATATGTAGTGGAAATTTTCTTATTCTCCTCTTGAACAATATCATCTTATGGCCATTCAACAAATTTGGAAATTGTATTTGAAT